AATAATTGCGCCATGTTAACTATGTGTTAAATAGCCTCACCAATCTGCAATTGGCCAAGCGTGATGAGTACGTTTACACCCCTGAAGACATCAGGGAGGCGTCATTCCAACAGTAGGGAGATAGGCCTGGATTTGGATTTTCGTGCAAGTAAAAGACAAATGTTTAAACACTGATCGAGATTTCTTTTCGTCAGACTGTGAAATTCTTATTTTCTTACTTTTGAATTATTCCGAAGGTTTGTAAATGGCGTAAGATAGTTGATTGATTTCACCAGCAATAAAAAGTAGACGCAGCTAGGATTTCTTTAAAAATGTGCTTAGAAAAATGCTTAAAAACTTTCGTATCGCCTATCTATCTATCTATCTATATATATATATATATATATATATATATATATATATATATATAAAAGAGGGTATCAAAAAATCTCCTAGAAGAATGTTGTTCCCAAATTTACTTTGGTCAAAACAGACTCAAAGCATGTAAACATCGGCTACAGAAATGGAAAGACAAAAATGGAAGTTATGTAGTAAAAAAATTAGTTGTTCTTTGGTTCCTGAATATTGGACTTACAGATTTTCACAAGAAAACTTAGATATACCGGATGTATATGTGCGTAAGCGTGTGCATATATATTAGTATATACTTGTATTCAGGTCTGATTATATATGTAAATATGTGTAGGTGTGTTACAATGAGCATACGTTAGTATATATATATATATATATATATATATATAGAGAGAGAGAGAGAGAGAGAGCGAGAGATAGGGAGGGGAGTGAGAGAGAGAGAATGAAATATAGAGAGAGTTTAAGTATGGATAGGAATCCGACAAAATGATAGGATAAAGAACAAGTCGGAAACAGATCTCAATCTAACATGTTTCATTTTATTAAATCTTCGTCAGAGATCAAGATAGAAATGATAAAAAAATGATAAAAAGCAAAGAGGCGCATATTAATTAATGGTAGGTAGGTTTTGTTTATTTCTTATTGGTTAGATATACGTCACGTGTAATGAAGTAACAGATAATGTTCAAATATGTTTGAGTAACATCTGGACGCTAATGTGTGTAAAAGTTAGTGAGATGCAGCAGAATGTTTTGAAAATCTTTGTTTTGGTTTGATTTTTCAGTAAAGCATATCTCGTGCGTATTTTGAATGTATCGTCATTGATTTTTGTATCTATCTTCATGAATTTTTAGGTGTTAGAAAGAGATAAGTTATATTAATAAATAATGGATCTGTTGAAAAATGGTGAAGTAATGTAGTTTTTTAAAAAGTGGGTTGATAGTTGGCAGTATATATATATATATATATATATATATATATATATATATATATATATATATATATATATATATATATATATTTATATATATATATATGTAAGCAAATATATGGATATAGATCCGACAGTATGAAGAAAAATATACTGAAAAAACAAACAAAATCCTAATATGCGATTATGCTGTTTTAATGTTTAATGTCAACGTCGGACGTTTCGGTCTAATAGACCATCTTCTGGACATATTCATAAAACATAATTAACATAGACCATATACAATTCAACATGAAAAAGACGATGGACATAAAAGCAATGCCAATCCAAACAGATAACTGAAATCTTTTATAAGATCAGCGTTCCGTTTAAATATGATCACGCATATTAGGATTTTTGTTTGTTTTTTCAGTATATTTTTCTTCATATATATATAAGACAAAATGGAAAAAGTTTGTGAAGCGTTTCATCCGTTGCGACTTCATCGGACTGGGTTTGTTGACGTTGTTGTGACGACACGTGCGCATGAACGAGAGACGCTGGCAGTTTCAAAATTTTCGAAAGAATTTTTTTAAAAAAAATCTTTGAAATCTACCTATATTCATCTATATTCTGTTTCTTTTTTTGTTTCATGATCTTTGTTATTAAATGTCCGACATTGTGATAACAGAAAATCTGCCATGAATGGTGATACGTTGTAAAGACCCGGATGCAAATTTACTGTGGTTGAACTAGTGATTAAAACACTTTCCAGACATTTTCATCGTAGTGAATTATTTTCTCTTTTAAATAGAGTAGCATTTTTATGTCAAAATTGTTTTCTGCCACAGTAAATTTTTGTCTTACAATTTCCTCAATACTATTCTTGATATATAAAAATATACATCGTTATCTCATATCATATATATATATATATATATTAAGAGATTTTTTTATGTTTATACGTTCTTTTTATGTCTTAAATGTCTTTAAAAAATAATTGTCGGACTTTGTCCATTTTATAATGTGTGACGCCATATAGATAGATAGATAGATAGATTCAAAAGTATGTGTCTGTTCATTTACTCAAATATTTTACTTGATCTAAAAATTGTATTGACGGTTGCCATGAAGTGTTTATTCCTGTGTCCACCTTTAAACGCTCTATTCCTGATAGTGTATACTCTCCCCCTAAATATATAAGGAATTTTAAACAATACATAGAAATATGTATTTATGTGTGTTAGAAGATAGATAGATAGAAATAATCATACATAGAATCAATCAGCAATATTAATATTGATTCTATGTATGATTATTTAATTTATATATAAAATATATATATGTATATGTGTAATGTGTGTGTGTATGTATGTGTGTGTGTGTGTGTGTGTGTGTGTGTGTGAAAATATATAGAAAATAGGAAGGAACTGGTTAGGTAAATAATCCAAAGTCCCTTAGTATTTTAGTTATTATTTTTAAAAATAGTGCTCGATACAAAAGTAGAGCATAAATATAATTATTTATTTAAAAATATGATTCCAAATCGCGACATAAGAAGTTCCATGTTTCAAAACAAGAGCCGTTCTGGGTCTTAGCAGTGTGCAGTGTAACGGTTCAGAGAAAATGCATGATTTTTAACCTCCTCAAAAAATTACCTGTGTATAATGCGACCCTCTATATTTGGCGTAAAATAACTGATCGTAAGAACTCAAACTATACTCAAGTATATACGATAATATTTTCTTATATTTGATATATCTATCTATAAATTTATGTATTTTGGAACCAAAAAAATTTCGCTTGAAGATGGAACAGAGCTTATTTTAACTTATTTTAACTCAATTTAATTTAAATAATTATATTGAAGTTTTCGGCTCTTGTTTTGAAACATGGGACTTCTTATGTCGCGATTTGGAATCATATTTTTAAATAAATATATATATATATATATATATATATATATATATATATATATATATATATTCATACACGTTTCATTGTAACAAGTGTTGTCTATTTATTTTATGTAAATTCTTTTCTTAAAGTCTGATAAGTTTAATAACATTATCATTGAACGAAGAAAGAAATTCACAATATTGATCTATATTTTTAATACAATCTAAGCTTTCGGCTTACATATGCCATTATCAAATATGTCAATTACAACATATTAAGCAATATACGGACAAGACAGTGATGATAGTCTGTGATTGTTTACATAGATGATTTCTAAGCAACGATAAACACGTGCATATATATATATATATATATATATATATATATATATATATATATATATATATATATATAAAGGAAAAATACAACAGCAAAACTCTGTGTAGTTCTAGCCGACGCGTTTCGTTCACTGCGAACTTTTCAAGGCTAAAAACGAAATGAACTTATTTGAACAAAGTATCTATAAACAAAAAACAAAATGTTGTTATCAGAAGAATTTAGAAACACTCATATATACTCATTGGTCAACTGAAAAATTACGTCATTTACTATTTATAGATAATTTGTTCAAAGAAATACATATCGTTTTTTGCCTTGAAAAAGTTCACTTTGGACGAAACACGTCTGCTATAACAACATACAGTTTTCCTATTGTCATTTTTCCTTTATATATACTGTCTTTTTTACAGATTAATTCTGAGAATTCTTTATATATATATATATATATATATATATATATATATATATATATATGAAGAAATATAGTCTTAAGGTGTGCTATATTTATGATAGAGATAGAGCGTGTGTAAATATAAAAGTGAACACTGAAGTCACCACTTAGAGGCGTCTAGCATGAAACAGACTGTCGCCTCTGCTTTGAAACCTGCAACAGTTGCTGAATTGAGAGCAGCCATTGAACGAGAATGTACAAAAATACCAAAGGAATTGGTGATGTTTGTGATTCCATTGCTCCGCGTTGTCAACAGTGCCAAGACCAGAACGGACATCAATTTGAAAACAAGCGTTGACAAAACAATAAAATAATGTCTATAGATTCTATTCAATTTTGAAAATGAAATGTATTTTAATAAATACTGACTTTAGAATTATTTAAAGGGTATATACATTTCGGGACACCTTTTATATATGTCAAAATGCAGGCTCGTGTTCACATAAATTTATAGATAGATATATCAAATATAAGAAAATATTATCGTATATACTTGAGTATAGTTTGAGTTCTTACGATCAGTTATTTTACGCCAAATATAGAGGGTCGCATTATACACAGGTAATTTTTTGAGGAGGTTAAAAATCATGCATTTTCTCTGAACCGTTACACTGCACACTGCTAAGACCCAGAACGGATAGGAAGTTCTGGAGAGCCGTGATCGCCCATGTCCTGAAAGGACACAGCACAGAGAAGAAGATGAAGCCTTTCCAAAATTATGTTTTATTTTTTTTTAATTTTCAGCACCCCGTCGTAGATAAAATATTTCACAAGAAGTAGACAAACATTCTACTCAAAATGCATGTGGGGAATGTTCGTATGTGTCTGCGCTTGTGGTGTACGTATAGGTGCATGCGTGTGTGTGCATGTGTGTGCGAATGAAAGGTACAATGGTATAGATTTCTGCACTGCGGCATCATTAACACAGACTTCTACTGACATATATTCCCAATTTCGAAAGAAAACATTATACTCTGCCTAACATCTTGTTATCAGCTTTCAAATCAAATTTCCTCTTCATTTAGCGTTCCATTTTTACCATTTGCTTTC